TTTATTATAACATAAGAAATATCCATATTTAATTGTGTTAAGTGTTGTCTTGATTCTTCGATGTAATAGAAATTTTTATATGTCAATATGAAAAACATGAATGCTATATTTACAATTAGTTTCACACTACACCGTATATTCCTATTTCAAATGTATGATTTTTTAATCAGCATTGTTATTTCTACACTCACACTTACACCTACACCGTATATATTGTTCACAAATACGGTGAACAGTTAAACCGTACATAAACAGTAACGTGAATAGTGCATGAATAGTGTCATATGAACAGTGTACGTGCACAGTGCGTGAATAGTAATCTTTTATAGTAAAATAAAATTGGTTAATGAAATGTAAAAAGTTGGTTAATGAAGTAATAAACTTGGTTAATAAACGTACAGATATTAAAAATAATTTTTAATAGTAAAATAAAATTGGTTAATGAAATGTAAAAAGTTGGTTAATAAAGGTATAAACTTGGTTAATAAACGCTCAGATATAAACATAATTTTTAGTAGTAAAATAAAGTTGGTTAATGAAATGTAAAATATTGGTTAATAAAGTTATGAAGTTGGTTAATCATACAATGCTCTTTAATCCAAAATTAAAATATATATATATATATATATATATATATATATATATATATATATATATATATTTTAAAAATTATTTTATTATTATAATATTTCACTGTTCACCGCATTGGTGAACAGTAAAATACGGTGTAGTGTATGTTTTGATTTTTTTTTACCAAAATTCCACCTTCTGAAATAGAAAGTACCAAACTGCCACCTTCTAGAAAAAAAATATCAAACTGTCACACATGCAGTAGGGGTTCGTCCAATGGAAGGACGAACTTGTGAAATTTTTTTTTTGATGTTAGGGTTCGGCCAACCAAAGGACGACCCCATGAAAGGTCTTTTTTTATTTTTATTTTATTTTATTTAAATATAAAATTTATTTTAAAATATATATTTAATTGTTTTATAAATATTAAATACTATTTTAATGATTTAAAACATTAAAAAATATATAATTTACATTAAAAATTAAGAAATATTTTTTAAAATAATATAAAAAACAAACAAATTAATTTAGACGGGCCAATTTGACGGGCCTGCTACATTCGGGCATTTTCTATGCATATGACCAATTTCTCGACATATTCCGCATCTTCTCTTTTCTTTCTCAGGATCATCCGTTTCGGTTCTAATTCTTGTACTATTTGGACGTCCTTTCTTATTCCTTCGCATTGTCTCGTCATGGCAAAGAGTAAATCCTTCATATGTTGGCCAATTTTCGTGGTGTGGAAGTCCAAGGAAGCTTTCGCTGTAGACTTTGAATACACTCAGAACCTTGAAAACATTTGGTATGTGCATGTTGTGGTCCTGGCGTATACTAGCACATGTTACGATTACGTGAGAGCAAGGTAAATGAAATGCTTAAAATCTCCTACAATCACACCACCCCTTCCTGATATCAATGCTAAAAGTACTTAATGGCCGGTCGTCATGTTGATTAATCCTTTCGGCCACCATAAAACAGAATCTCTCGCAATCAAATTGGATTACATTATGGCTGCTAGATTTACTCGCTTCGTTGGCATTCCCTTATTATAGTTTTCGGTGAAATTTTGGCCGGATGCCAACATTTTTGTCCAATCGTATTCTCATTTTCCAAACAGCGAACCCAGAAGATAGAACATTGACTTAACCAATGCAGTAATAGGAAGGTTTCGGGTAGCCTTAAGTACTGAGTTCATAGCCTCAGCCAAATTTGTTGTCATATGTCCCCATCGGTGTCCTCCGTCGAACGCCCTCGACCACTTCTCTCTAGGAATACCGTCTATCCACTCCAAAGCTGCTATATTTGTTCTTCGTATTCCGCCCCGGTAGTAGTTAAATGTTGCCTCCGTTAGTGCATATCCTGAGAGGAAAAAATGTTTTAAAAAAATGTTCATGGAAAAAATATGAAAATCAATTAGTCAATAAATATTTATTGAACCATCAACTCGTGAAGATGTAGGCATACCCATGTTGACAACTGTTTTTCGTAGTTCTTTGTCTCTAAACTCATGCATGAAGTTTTGCATAATGTGTCTGATACAGTAAACATGCGAAGATGGAGGATACTGCCACCCATTTTCAGGATCATCGTAAGCACTCTTGATTGATGGATGTCGGTCGAATATTAGACAAATATTAGCCTGAAGGGTCACATTCATTCTCAAATTCCTGAGAAAGAAACTCCAACCATCCTTTGTCTCACCTTCAACCAATACTAATGCTATTGGAAAAATGTTACCATTTCCATCTTGTGCCACAACCATCAACAAAGTCCCTTTGTACTTTCCGTACAACCAGGTTCCGTAGATTTGTACAATAGGTTTACAGTAAGTAAAACCACGGATACACGGTTCAAATGCCCAAAAAAGTCGATAAAATTTCTGTTTGTCGCCCAATTGGGATCCTTCGTCTGTAATAACTAGCAATGTTTCCAATTGTATAACAGTTCCAGGAAGATATGTCTTCATCACTAACAACCATTGTGGTAATTCATTGTAAGACGTCTCCCAATTCCCATAAAGTGATTCTATGGCTTTAATCTTTGAAATCCAAGCCTTCCGATATGAGATTCTATAACCATATATTTCAGCAATATGGGCTTGTATCACTTTGACTTTTAGTGAAGCGTCACTGTTAACAAGTTCCCTGATGTTGTGGCTAATAAATTTAGAATCTAATTTTATATGATCCTGCGACATAGAAGTTGTTATGCAAGTGCGGGATCCGCTTATAGTAGCGATCTCCCATAATGTGCTCTTTTTACGCAATACAGCTCTACATGTGAACATGCATTGTGGATTCTTACATTTTACTATATACCTTACTGAATCAGATTTATATACTGCATAGTCAAGATGGTTACTTATATACCAATGTTACAGGGTGACCATTGTGTTTCTATCTGCCATTGTGTTTCTATTTTGACACTGTGTGTAAATTAGATGGTCTAACTCCAAGTAATGCATGCAAAATATATAGTGAAACGGAAGAGTATTGATTCGTCCAACCAAAGGACGACCCATTGTAAATCATGTGTGAGTTCTTCCAACCAAAGGACGAACCATTGAAAATCACGTGTGAGTTCGTCCAATGGAAGGACGACCCATTGCCAATCACGTGTGAGTTCGTCCAACCAATGGACGACCCATTCCCATGCTCATGTACGTTCTCCAACCAAAGGCAATCCATTGAAGACCGTGAGGCTGCATTGCATTCCATTGGCCGAACTCACATAGGTGCAGTGTGTAGTCTTATCTAGCCAGAATTCTTGCATGCAATGTATAGGGTGCAAAGGGAATCATGTATAAGGATGCAGAGTTCTTGCATGCAATGGTTTACTTCATATTTTTAACTCATATTTCCAACGTATAATTGCATGCAATGGTTCATCAATCATTTAGAATCACATTTTGTTGTTATAAATAGACACACATTTTATTCATATGCATTGCAAAATCAACAAACTAATTCAACACCTTCATTATTTTACTCATCGCTTTTTCTTAAAAATGACAATGTTGTGGATGAGAGAAAACCATCGGGGAACACCGACCAATATTGCCGCCTACGTAAGTTTTTTAATATTACACCATTATATCATTAAATTTTGTTATATTTTGTTATTTTTCTTATTTTCAATATTACACCTTTAAGTTGTTTTTATTTTTCAATATTTGAAACAGTCCGACAGCGAAAAATTTAGACTTTATTCTCATGCTATCGATCCACCAAGTGACACAATCAAACCGTATTTGGGACGAGCAGGTTTTGCAAAAGTTGCAGAAATAACCACTATCAATGTTAATTTAAAGCTCGTACTTGCTATGGTTGAGAGGTGGAGACCAGAAACACATACTTTCCATCTTCCAACAGGTGAATGTACCATCATGTTGGAGGATGTAAGTATGTTATTAGGTCTCTGTGTAAATGGTAAGTTTGTGAATGGTCCTACTCAGGTAGGCAGTGATGTATATATGGAAAATTTAGGTATCAAACCATCGACATCTGATAAACATAAAGCTTGTGTTAAAATTGTTTTGCTACAAACTATGTTATCACAACTACAACAAAACACATCGCCATCCGATGAGGAGAATCTTCTCCATGCAAACATTTATATACTACTACTCATAGATAAAGTATTGATGTCAGACAAGAGCCATAACTATTTACATTCTTCTTGGATACCCCTAATCGGAGATTTAGATAAATGCAATAGATATAGTTGGGGTTCTGCTTGTTTAGCTACATTATATAGGCATATCTGTAAAGCATGTAGAGTAGGGGTAAAAAGTATTGGAGGAGGCGTTCTTCTACTAAGTGTTTGGACATATTTGCATATACCACTAATTGTTCCAGAGAGTTCCATCGAGTCATACCATCCTTATGCAACAAGGTAACAATTAATTACATTGTATTTTCTTTTCTTTTATTTACATCCCTTTATTACATTTCTTTCTTTTAAAATTACAATATTTGTTCGAAGAGGCATGGCTTACCAAAATAATCCTCGGCACTACATCCGAGGATTTAGATTTGCACTAGATAGATTGAGGGCTAACGATGTAAGTTTGTTACCGCTACATTATTTAACTATATGCTAACATCTGTATTTAAACTCTAACTATTGTATTTGCTGTAACAGTTTATTTGGAGGCCCTACTCGAACTACCCAGAATGCGTCCTTGCAGATAGCTAGATTTGGAGCGCAACCACATCAATTATCAGTTTTCATATTGTTGAAATGCATCAAGCTGATAGGGTAAAATTGCAGTTTGGATTTCAACAAGATATCCCTTCTCAGCCTAGATATCTACGCGAACAACATGAAACTGATATACCCAATACATGGGGAGATCATTAGCGCAATATAAATAGAGAAGAGAACAACGAGTGGAAAAACAGGAAAAAAAATTGACCTTGAAAGGTAACATGGTTAATAGTAACTATGTTCATAGTACTGCATATATGCAATGGTTTTTATCCATTCCATTTATGCATGCTTCTCAAGGACAAATCCTAGAAGACCCCCGTCAACATGCATCGTCTTCATCACAACAAAGATCTTCGTCGTCCATGCCTCAAGAAATCCCTCAGATGAACCCTTCACAATTTCAGTCCCAGACATCTTCATTCCCCTAACACACCCAACCCATACAACCCCAACCAACTTATCAACGCACTCATACCACATTCTTTGCCACCTCCTCTCAACAACCAACACCGTACACCCCAATCCTGCAACCTAACTTCTACTACCACCAAGAATACCAAGAACAAACCGCATTTCGACCATTCTTTCAGTTCACTCCAATTCCTCAACCTAATTTTGATTTCTCTTACCCCCAATCACAACACCAAACATTTAACCCTTCACTGTCTCAACCGACTTCTATCGGTCGCACTGACGATGTTTATTACCCTCCCATCCAACAAAACCCTCCAAACACCTTCAACCAACCATCCCAGACAGTCCCCAACTATCTTCTAACTAATGATCAACTTATGGAATGGCCAGGTTTTTCTGTTACTGATGTGGACATGGTCGATACATCACATCAACCTAAAAATGAATGTGAAGATGAAGAGTTATCTTCCGACTCTACTCCATCACCACCAAGACAGCAACCAAAAGAGTTAGACAGGAGAAAACGCGTGAAAAGAGTAAAACGTGTGGAACTGGGGGTCGTTTACGTAGACAAAAATGATGTATCTTTTTTACTCATTCGTATTAATAAAATTGTTTTTATCTATAACTTTATTTAATAGACAAATTATTTTAATTAATTAAATAATACGAAACATATTTAATAAGATTATAAAATTAATTAAGTTATATATTTTTTAATGTTTTAAATCATTAAAATAGTATTTAATATTTATAAAACAATTAAATATATATTTTAAAATGAATTTTATATTTAAATAAAAAAAAACCCTTCATGGAGTCATCCTTTGGTTGGCCGAACCCTAACATCAGAAAAAAGTTTTTTACAGGTTCGTCCTTCCATTAGACGAACTCCTACTGCATGTGTGGCAGTCTCATACTTTCTATTTCAGAAGGTGGCATTTTAGTAAAATAATCGTATGTTTTAGTGTAGAAATAACAATTTTCTTTTTTAATTATTATTTGACTTTATATTATAAAAGGCAATAAGTGACATTACAATTAAACTTTCTCTCTCCTCTCTTTTCATCTTCCACCTTCTTTTTTCTCCTTTTCTCTCCTCTATGCTATCGTTTTTTTCTCACACAAGATGCTTTATATTTTTCCCACTCTAAATTTCTCAAATAGGTTAATGAATATGCAAAAGAAAATTAAAATAAATTACAAGTAATACACAGTAGGTTAATTGTGTGTATACAATTAGCTAATATTGCTCAAATGTTGGTTAATGAGTTTTCATACATATCAAACATATTAAAGTTGGTTAATTGTGTGTGAAAAATAGGTATATACAATTTATATGTTGGTTAATGAGTTTCCAGATTACAAGTAAAATAAAGTTGATTAATTGTGTATAAATAATTGGGTAATACAGAAAGTTAGTTAATAAATCCTCAAACATAAAAATACATTGAAGTTCACAAATAACAAATGTATCTTTTAAGCTATCAAATTTCAACAAATTTCATCTTAACACCATAAATATAATTAAAATCAAGCAATGCAAGTTGATAGTTGATTTATGTATAAATGTAAACGATACATATTGATATCAAGTGATAGAGATTGAGACGGTCGAGCTTTGTTTGATGAGGAGAAATGAGAGGATGATTTTAATTTTATGAGAAAAAGAACAAAGAGAATGATAGAAGAGAAGAGAAAGAAAACAATTTTAATGAATGAGAGAGAAAGTGTGTGGTTCTGACAAGAAGAGAAAGAGAATTGTCATAAGATTCAAGTCAAAATGACTCAAATACCCTTAGTATAAAGTGAAATTACAAAATCATTAGTATTTAAGAACAAAAATATACAGTGTAGTGTCACATTTAGTTCTCTATGACAAATAGTAAAACACCTCTCAAATTTTCAATAATTTTTCATTAAAAATTAGACTAAGCACAAAACAAGGAGGAATAGATTGAACAAATATAAAGCTTGTGTACAAAACGAGGAGGAATAGATTAAACAAATAAAAAAAATGTTATTCTTACACCAAATCCTACACTTATACCGTATTTCACTCTTTATCAATCTGATGAACAGTGAAATATATAAAAATATTAATTTTTTTTTAATTTTTTAATTTTTAAATTAAATAATATTGATATAAAATTACACGATTAACCAACTTCATATCTTCGTTAACCAAATTTTTACTTTTTATTAATCAACTTTAATTTACTATTAAGAATATTTTTAACTCTGAGTTTCTATTAACCAACTTCATCACTTCATTAACCAATTTTTTACATTTTATTAACCAAATTTATTCATTATTTTAAACTACGGTTCACATAAGTATATACTTATCTGTTCATGTACACTGCTCACGCACGGTTTATGAGTATTGTTTATGCACTGCTCATTTACTGTTTATGAAAATATTTTTTTATTTAAAAAAATATACTGATGTATGTATTGGTGTACAAATGGAGTCTAGGAATAGCAACCCTAAAACAAATATAAAGCTGGTGTACAATCATTTTGCATATTAAATAAGATAAATAATTGCAATCATTTATTGATAATAAAAAATAGACAAGTTCAGACTTGGAATTAATCAACCATTTCTATCATGGGATTAGGGACAAGCTAGCTTCGTCCTTTTCCTTTCCAAATTCTCCATCTCCAAGCTCTCCATGTTTCTCTTTGCAGTATATATACAACACCGTAAGAACCGTAATATTGTAAAGCGAGAGCATAATAAGTATTGGAGAAATCACTAATTTCAGTACCCAGCTAAAACCAGTTATCCACACCAATATCCATTGCAAGGACGCAAACAGGAAAAAGATTGAAAAGATCAACCACTTCATTCCTTTCACCAATTTCCAACTTCTTCTCAATGGTTCAAACCCCCAAACTGATTCCACCACCACAATAGCTTTCACCAAGCTCAAGTTAATTGCCAAATATATCGCAAGAGGGAGTAAAACAAGCATCAATGAAACCACAACCAAGTAAGAGTGAGCTTGGAGGTCAACACCGCCTAGATAAGTGATAAGAAACGATACAACTGCAATGAGAAATCCAAATAGAAAAGTGCCGAGGAAGAAGATGGTGAAGAAGATGATGTCTGTGGCGAGTAAGGGGAAGAAGGAAGTGGAGATGGATTTGAAGGCTTCTTTGAGTTTGATGGGTTCATTGAAAAAGGAGCGGTAGACGCTGTCAGTGAGGGAGATAAAGGCACAAGATGTGAAGATGGAAGAGATAAGGAAGGAGAGGATAGAGAAGGAGATGATGGCGGTAGGGCTTGTTGGGGGTTGTTGCTGTTGCAGGTGTTTGAGAATGAGTTGGGAGACGAGGGAGAGGAAATAGAGAGGTAAGAGGAAGATGAGGGAGAGAGTGAGGTAGTGACGAGGTTGAGTATATATTATGCGTTTGGATTCACATAGAATATCCCATATTTTTGGAGCCATGGTCGTGGTAGTAAAAGCTAGGTGAAGAAGAGATTATTAATGCAGATGAAGTGGAATTGATATGTGAAATGTGGATCTATATATAATGACTTTTGTAGACTTTTTCATCGTCTTATATATCTACTTATATTCATATGGACATAAATATGATGACAAGTCTTGCAGGCCAAGTTATCCAAGGACTTGTATTCTCTTCTTCCATTATTCTGGATGCTCATTTGTACTAGTCAACAAATCTAGCAATCACGCGTATGTAACTGTTAGATTAAAATTAAATTTATTTTTTCTTATCTATCTAATCAAATTCGGAGAGCTAATAATATCTTAACTGCGTAATTGCATGGAAATGGTGTTTGCAGCAAATCAAGTTTCGATCAACTCCTTACTAAAACAAGTTAAGAGAAGCCAAAGAAAAAGAGAGATATTGTGGGTAGGGATGTTCAAATTAACCGGTTTGATGGTTTATCTATAATTATAACTGAATTTGATTTTTAAAAATCGGTTAATTTTATTTTGGTTTTTTAACCAATCCATTTTTAAAATTAGTTGGACATCCATATCCAATTGAATGGATAACCACAACCAAATAAAAATCCAGAAGAAGCCTAATTGCAATTTTCTCTTCTCCTCTATGATCGAAGATAATGTGCTTCTCTCTCAATCTCATTCCTTGTAAAACCCTAATTTTAACATAAATGAGTCTCAGTTCTTCTCTCTCAATCGATGTATTCCTTGTTCCTCTCTCTCAATCTCGATTGATGTATTCTTTCTTCTTTTTTCAATCTCATTGGAAAACCCTAACGTAAACGATCATCCTCCTTTTCAATTCAGGTAAATGCATTTACGTTCCTTGTATTTCAATTGTTCCATTTTTTGAATTTTATGTTTGATATGTGTTCCATTTTCGATTTTGTTACTTATATTTCAACCATTCCATTTTCTGATTTTATGTTTGATGGTGTTCCATTTTCAATTCAGTTTTATATATGACTTAAATTCGATTGCATTCTTGAGTTTTATGATGCCTTTTAGTGCTTATTGTCGCTACTGCGAAAATCGGCGCCGGCTGAACAGAAGAGTCGCCACCGTGCGTTATTTATCCCAACGGAGGGAAAGGAAACGCTCGAGGTAAACCTACCGCAAAACGGGGAAAGGAATGGTCATCGCAACCAAATCTTGGATTCGGGAGTCGGTTACGCAAGGGGAAGGTATTAGCACCCCTCACGTCCGTCGTACTCGACGGGATCCACGCTTGCTTGGTTTGTACGGATTTCACTTCTATCTAAACTAAAGGATGAGTTCTGAAAAGAAAATAAAATGACTCGGCAAAGCATCGCACCTTATGCCTACGTATTCCCGTCTGAAACGAGAAATCAGAGTCAACGTAGTTCGCCTACCTACGGGAAAGGAGGGGAAGGTTGCTCGCTAGGATATCGCATCCTATGCCTACGTACTTTCATACAGCATGAAAGATCAGAGCAAACGTAGTTCGGGCCACGTACGACACATGTCTGTCTTGATTGTTTTTATTCCTTCTGAAAAAGGTTTTTCCTGATTACTGGTCCAAGCGGACAAAAATGACGTTTTGATGAGTTCACATTCTTTTACAAAAGAAGTGTCTTTTATTGTGTTTGAAATCTTATTGTGTTTTTCTGTTTGTTTTGAGAAAGAAGAGACATAACTCTAACCTATGGTTGCGAAAGGGAATCATACTAACCTAATGTTATCGTGCATGGGTTAAGACCTAGTGTCTATCATGCTCCTCTCTTGCACAGAGAGAAACAGAGATCCTAAGGGAATAGACGGAAACAGAAACAATATCAGATATATACAGTAAAGCAGTAAAATGCATGGATGCAACAATACAAGCGAGGCAAGGGAGTCCCACTCAACCTCGAACCTAGAAAACAATAGGCAAAAGTGAACAGGATTCACTTTCAACCCAACATGGTAAACAGCAAACAATACAATCCGGGAAAACCAATCAATACATCAGAAATGAATAACAGCTAAAAATAAACAGCCACAGCAGCTCTGCATCAACATCTGACTTCAAGTCATCTCCAAACAGCTACAAGCTTCAGCAAGCATCAATCTCCATCTCCACAGCCTTCAAGCAAGGTCTTTGATTATCAGTCTTCCATCTGCAATGGCTTTTCTTCAAGTCTCAAACTCCAGGATGAACATCAGTCAACCAGATGAAGTGAATGAATGTTAGCCAGTCAGTTACCTACCAAGGGTGGTTCATTAACTGTTAACATTATACTGACAATTTTCTCTCAAAAGTTCTATCTTTCAAATACATTCACTAATCCTTCCAAAGGAAGGAGGTGGATATTTGAAAGAGACTTTGAATCATAGAGAAAGGATGGATGCAGACAAGGCATTCCATGTTTGAGAAACAAGCTTTCTAATCTAGAGCTCTGCCTAGCTCCTATCCCTATACTCCTCAACAACTGCTAGCAAAAATCTCCTCATCAACTCTGGAAGTTGGTCTTCAAGCTCTTGATCTCCAATGGCTTCATCATCACAAGTCTTCAACTCTCCCGATCCCCAAGCAATCCAAATACCCACACAGACAAATCATAATCCCCAGAGAGGGCACACCACACCAGTCAAGCAAATACAGGCAGTACTAATAGCATTAGGGGAATCCTACAATTTTCTAAGGGATCTAATAACTACCCATAATCCCTATAGTCCCATACCCCAAAAATTCAATCTCTAACTCCTAAGGGAAATGAACTAATTCTCCTATGTTATCACCTAAACCCTAATTTTGGTCATGTTGTTCACACCTAAACAAATCTCCTAAAATTAAGTCCTAAAAATATGAACTAAATTTTATATACAAGATAAATGTCTACTCTAATCAACCTAAAAAGAATGGATTAAAAAGCTAAAGGGAACTATTAGAACAAAAATCAACAAATTTAAGTATCAAACTAAACTTGATAAAATGCTATTTACAAGAAAAATGCATGAAAAACTATTAAAACAAAATAAAATGCCATTTTTATTTTTTCATATTTTTCTAGACAGAATTATTGACCCAGAGAAAAAAGAACCAATTAAAACTAAGCTATTTTCATTTTTTTATGATTTTTTAAAGATGAGAAAAATATTAAAAAAATAAAAACACAAAATAGAAATAAAATGGGGAGGGGGTCTGAACAGCAAGCTCGCCCAGTTCAAATCTTGATGGGCTTGAGAAGTGGGGGCGCGAATATCATTTGCATTAGGCCCAACGCGCATCAGAAAATGAAATGAAAACATAAAAGAAAAATTAAAATGCAAGCGGTGCAGAAAGCAACGAAATCAAGTTCATTTATTGGGCTTCTCAAAATGGGGGTGGGGATATGAAATTGGATCCAAGGCCCATGCTGATGTTTAAGTGATACGGTGCGTTTCACTTGGCCTTTTCCCTCCGTATTTTCCTTCAAATCTGGACCATTGGATGGGCAGAAAATGTCAAATAATTGGCATGATCGGACGGCCAGGGGATCGTCTTCCTCAATCAACTCTAGGGTTTGCAGAATAAACCCTGCACACGAGCTCGACTCAGCCAGCTTCCAGCCATCATATCTCCCTCGTCTCTCCATGAAAGGCCACGATATAAACACCAAAGTTGCTCCACTTCTCACGTAGAACACAACTGTATCAATAGTTTTCAATATAACAGCCTAGAACTTCAAACTCGATAGGCATAACAATTCTGATCCACCATTTTCACCTGTGATCAATCCTCCCAATTCTCTCTAATTCTTGCCCTAAACTAATCCATATCTTACACTGATCATTATGAGCTAATAACCTAAGATCATCGCGCTTTAATCTAAGAGTTATAAGCCTTAACAGTTCTTGCACTCCATTAACAACCTTCATGAAAACTCTCCAAACTTTGTGGAATTCATCATCTAACTTAACTTAACCATTCTATGCTAACAAATCACTAACATGCTAGCTAAATCATGCAATTCGAGTAGAGATACCAACCTGGTTCAAAATGAAGAAACAGCTATGGAACTCCTTGATCCAATGCTTGCAGTGATTTGAAACTGATCCACACACTCCAACCTTGATTCTGTATGCAAAGATTCTGACTCAAACTTCTTGGATCTTGTGATTCCAACTTCTTGCACCTTGGATGATGGAACTTGTATGGCACGATCCTTGCTCAATTAAGCCAAATTCTTGTGTGAATTGTGATCTATGGATGATGGTGATGAAGACCAGATCAAGAAAAATGGAAATTGGTAAAGATTTGAGAGAGTTTGAATTGATTTTGCAAATTGGAAGAATTATGTGAAACTTGTGTTTTGATCAATATGAATCACCAACCATGGCATGAAGCTCTTCATATCAATATATAGATGAGATTAGAACCTCCTAGAACTTTGGAGAAGCTTCCCATGCACATTTTCCCTTGGATTTGGATTATGTAACTTTCATTGTAAGTAACCATGCATATCTCTCAAATCTTGAACCAAACTCAAAATTCTACTTTTGCCAATGTTCTTAAAACATTTTTTCCAATCAAAATGACCTATAATTTCACCTCATTTGGCCAAACTATGAAAAATCTCAAATTTAGGTCATTTTTTATTCATTAAATCCACCAATTTTGAAACCTTGTGCTATGAGTCTTTCCAATCTTTCATGGTAACTTTTCTAGACTCAAAATGTCATTTGGAGCAAGTTTGATGTTGTGAAGTTTTCCATTTGAAGCTTCCTTGTATGAGTTTTGGGCATAGGCTTGAAATGACCTGTAATTCTTAGATGACCAAAATACCCTTTTCTTGCCAAGACCATAAGTAGAGTTACACACATCATATGAATGCATACCATACCATTCTAGAAAGATAAGACAATGAGGAACAACTCTTATGTTGACCATAAATTCATTTGAAATCTCCTTGAGGGGTAAAAATTGCTTGGAAGACAAGTCACTTTTACAGACAAAATTTCAGATACCTCAGATGACCTGTAACTTGCAAGGA